GGGAGGGGGTTCATAGTGTGGATGTACTTCTTAACAAAGCACTGTGGCTCAAGAATAACTTCTGGAAAACGATTAGACAGTGATGTATCAATGTCCACGCGACGACCACACTTCTCAACAGGTCCTATGGGTATTACGCACTGTTGCTTCAACTGCTTCTTCTATCCGAGAACAATTACCATATTGAAAACTAACTTCATAATTTTTGCCTTTATTCAAGCTTAAGGAATCATATTAACGGTGAGGGGGTGGAGGAGTAGGAAGTAAGGGTTGATTTAGCTGACAGCGTTTTTGTCATGTGAACAATTAAAGAGGCGCTTACGTTTGATCAAATCGTCAATATACCAAATAATCAGGCAATAATTTGAGAAAGGATTTTCTAATGCTCTCCTTTGGTAAAGGAGTGACATAATGAGCAATACCTAACGAAAGATTCGAAGTCGGTCACCCTCTCTATTGGCCAAGCCTAACTGAGTGTGGACTGTGGACCTATGGAAATCGACTCGGTATATGGTACAGCGACCAAAGGACCATGTCAAATTGTACTCAAATGGCTAAAAAAATCAAAGATTCGAAGGTGGAACAGCTTAGTCAATAATTGATCCAAATATTTGACTAATATTTTATGCATCTAAAACGGATATAATTTGGAAAGTTAATTGACAAAAGGTAGACACAAACTTTGAGTACAAAAAATGAAGAGTTAAAAACAAGGAATTATGATTTTTTAGCAAATGTATTAATTGACCGAAATAATGCATTGCAAAAGTCTCGAAAAAGAAACGAGTCCAATTAGATAGCGCCGTTTTGAGCAATTACCAAGAAAATACAACCAGTCTTTTAATCGTGGTCAAAGAAAGCAGAATGGAAGTAATGGTAATACGTCTGATCACATTGACAAAATGATGCAAGAGAATATCTATGGTAAATTCTTGTCAAAATGAAAGGACTCAAGGACTGGTTACCTCAATTCACGTCCCGATTTAAACACAAATATGATGAATTTTAAATTGAAAAAGTCATTCATTTATTTCATAGATAAAAATAAGGAAAGCGACATTGGAGTTCTTCTTTTATTAGGTGACTAAAAATTATTGAGGAAACCAAAAAATATGAACACGTACAAATAATACAATTAGAAAGATGTACAAAATCGTGTACAAAAAAATAAAGAGCGACGTAAAGGCCAACATAGAGTATCTCAATAGGACCGTCTGCAAACTAAAAAATTATTCACAAAAAGAACCTCCATATGGAAAGATAAAACAAAAAATTAAAACAGACAATGCAAGGAATGATCAAGAAGAAAACAGCAAAACAAGAGTATTACATAAAATATGCTGTAAATCGTACGCACATAAGAAAGGGAGAACTTACGAATTTGCGGATTTCCCTGACGAGAGTGAAAAAGGCTTCTTCCACCCCCTGACGCGTTTTTGCCGACGTCTCCACATAGGGAATGTTGTACTCCTCCGCAACTGCCTCCGCCTTCGCCGTCTCAACTGTCCGCACCGATAAATCCACTTTGTTACCAATCACTTTAAGAGAGAAAAAAGAAACAAATAAACGAATGTGAAAAAGAAAACTCAATGACACTCCACACCGTGCACTCTCATTCGCATTACTTACAAACCATAGGCACTTCGTCCGCGTCTTTCACTCGCTTCACCTGCTCCCGATACTGGTTAATATCCTCGAAGCTCTTTGCATTATTCACTGCGAAGACACATAAAAAACCCTCACCTGTCCGCATGTACTGGTCCCTCATTGCACTACACACAGACAACTACGTGAAAAATAGCAATCAGTTCGCCTACCTATACTCCTCTTGACCAGCTGTATCCAATATGTCAAGCATGCACGTTTCTCCATCAATCCTCACCTGTTTCCGGTACGAATCCTCTGCAACAATTCATTAGTCAATCCAACTCTACTCACCGATTGTTGGGTCATATTCATGCACAAACCTACATTAATCGTTATTTCAATTTATTTATTTGTTCAAACTTACAAATTTTGTGTGAGTTGAATTGTTAATGCACTTTTTCCCACACCACCGGCTATCAGTGAAAATGAATACTAGACAACCGACTTAACTCACCTCCAACTACAACGAGTTTGTACTCGGTCATATTCCTTAAATTGCTACCTTAGGGTCCTTCACACCGATTCGAGACAACACATGTACACCCGAAATCAGCCAACCAGATATTTGATATTTGGAACGTTGAAACAGTTGCTTAGATAATATTCGTTAAATTACTTCTTAAGACATTTTGCAGTTTTGGCTGAAAAAATCTACTAAAATTATTTAATATACATGCTAATAAAGAAACTTCACAGTATTTTGCTAGTCTATTTTAAATAATTTGTTAGATATGTATATTAGTATTATGTAAAATATTCACTCTTTTAAGCATTAAAATTTGTATGTAAATACTATTTAGAAGCTAGTTTCTAGATAGGCTCACTTAATTTAGTTGTAAATCTATTTTTCATCAACGCCTCTTCGTTTTAAATTTATTGCTTTGACATTTATTTAATACCTTTCTTGCCTGTCTCTTTTTGTGTAGACAGGTGAACGGCTTGACCAATTTCTCTTTACACAGCCAATCTATAATTGTAATCTATGGATAATTAGTTATGTAATTCAAAAATTCAAAACCTTAGTTATTCGTCCACAGTGCTACAGTATTCCCCTCATGTTCTTCATATTATTAGTTCTATCTGTCAAGCAATTTAACGTTTCTCTTTTTTCAAAATGTACCAATATAACCATATCCTCCCTTGTTTACTTGCCCAGATAATTAAACATTATTCTTCAATGTCTACTTGCACAAATTTACTCAATTATTGTTCATCTGATTTTAAGCTTTCTCCTCTCACCCTAACTCTTTTAAGCCCTCTAATCCTCATTGTGGTTGATTTGATGTACTTTTTCTAATAAAGCTCATTACATTTTCTGCCGTTCGACTGTATTCGACTGTCTGTTATAGTCTTATGTTTGATGCCCTGAATTTGTTTCATTATGTTTTAAAATGTCTTAACTATAAATAATAAAGTAATACCAATTTGTATTAGATTGAAGGAAAAAGTCGAGTGGCTCAAGCGAATTGAACAGTCAAGATCATGTGGGCAGTTTGTCCCAAATTATGGTTTAAACACAAACGAATCTTTTCCAGATGTCAAGCATCTATCGTAGAAGATAACTTTTGGAAATTTTAAATTCTACCCTTAATCCCATTAATCTTACCCCTAATTTTACATCAGACACATTTGACAATTTCTCAAACAACGTTGATGTTATTAACCACAGAGCACTCTTTTCCTTTTCATTGACTCAAACTTCTTCATATAACCATCAGGCTTCCTCGTGCGTTCTATATTTAACATTTTAACATATTTATTTGTCAAGATTGCTGCTCTGTTTTTAAGATCATTTGTTCTCCGAACTTTATGGAAGCAAAATGATACAATTTGCTTAAATTAATCAAATCCTTACCCGTCATTATATGAAGCTTCAAACCAAAGTACATCTACCGCACGCAACTCTATTGTATCTCAATCAGGCTCCAGATGTTGGATGAAAGCTATATTTTCCTGAAAATAAATTGGCAGTTTCAGTCTCATATATTACATATATTATATAATAGTTAAAATTGTCTAACTTCTTGAATTGTTGCTTTGCACAATTTAAAGTCAACTTCGGGAGATTTCGTAATTTCATCATATTATTTTGCTAAAGGGATTGCAGCTAATTAAATTATAAAAGCAGTGGAACTTTATTAATTGTAGGGGTTAGAGACCTTGGTATGGCAAGGATCAGATTTAGATTTTTTGACATTTTTCATTACATATATATGCGTATATGGGAACTCAACATCAGCGTTTAACTCCATTGTATATAAAGATATTGCGAATTGGTGCAAAGCCTTATCTATTCTTTTCAATAAACGACATATTCCAGAGCATTATTTCATAAATCAAAACACAATATGCTATTGAAATCATTGATCTCGAATCTCAATTAGCACAATTCCAAATTGAGCACATGCCGGGACTACCTGTAATTCCTAAAGAGGGCATCACAGTCTAATGATTAAAAATATAGCTTTATCTACAAGCAAGTTCCTGACACAATAAATAGAGCTAATTGAAGATTTATTAACAAGTTAAGTTTGAATAAAATGCGGCGGATAATTATATAAAATTGTGCACGATCTTATGAACTATAATCAGATTGGTATATTGAGAATATTATTTCTTAATTTCGCACGATATAGTTTAAAAATTTATAAACTTTATTGAATCTATCTTGTATATCACCGTTAATGGTGCCAACTATAGAAAGTACATTTTTAATTTAGGGAAAAGTCCAAGTTTAATGCGCTTTTTACATTAATATTTCTGACATATTTGAAAACTGAAACTAATTTATTACAAATCAAACAGATTAACTATCGTAACATTGATAGCTATTAAAGAAAAAATTCTATTCATATTTTGTTTATTATATCTAAATTAAAATTATAATTATTGAAAATAGGATGATTGCAAAGCAAACAATGTAATATGATTTAAAATTAAATACCAGAAGTAAACCGTTATTTGATTGAAAAGACTCATTGAAGAGTGATACCAAATCTTTGTTTTACAGTTTATAATTCTATCATCTGATTGGCTTATGTCTGGTGTACATGCGTTGTCTCGAATCGGTGTGAAGGACCCTAAGGTAGCAATT